TTTTTGTATGATCGGAAATGCAAAAAAAGGAGGGAAGAAGGAGAAGAAGGATGGGAAAGAGAATGTTTATCCAGTACCCGACCGAGTAACATTTTCTCGCAATTCACATTGGCGGATCTGGGGGAGGGGGTCATGGGTCCTGACCCCCTCCCTTGGGCAACAAAAAAAAGGGGAAAAAGAAAAGAATTCTAGACCTACAATTTCAGGACCCGTGAGCTGATTTTTTTGTTGTTGCTATTAGAAAATTAGAATTTTGAAGAACATAAAATTCATTAAAACACACATCAAATGTCTGGAAAGCTCAATTCTCGCCATCTAGGAATAAAAAATTTCCTGGGGGAGAACCCCCGGACCACCCTTTCTTTTTGGGATTTATCGATTCATGGAAAAAAGAATACGCATGCAACTACTCATTTGTTTATGTATGTATACACACATAAATTTAAAAATGAGAAAAATTTACCTGACATTTTTTAAGAGGGGAAAACCTTGAATTTTGAAGAACTTTAAAAGTCATTAAAAGACATTTCAGAAGTCAGATAAGCTCATCTCCCGCCATCTAGAAATCGAAATTTTTTCCGGGGAAACCCGGACCCCTTTTGTCTTTGGAGTTCATTGATTAATTAAATCATTTTCAATGGGGGGGGGACCTTGAATTTTGAAGAATTTAAAAGTCATTAAAAGACACCACAAAAGTCGGGAAAGCTCATTTCCCGCCACCTAGGAATCAAAATTTTCCCGGGGGAAGAAGAACCACAGGACCTCCCCCACGCCCTTTCTTTTTGGGATTTATCGATTCATGGAAAAACTACGTATGCAACCTACTTAATCTTTTTTTATGTACCGGTATGTATACACACATAAGGGCTATTTACTGAAATAACAATGGGGAAAAATTATCTGACCGTTTTCAAGAGTGGAAAACCTTGAATTTTGAAGAACTTAATTACTTTTAAGTTCTTCAAAATTCAAGGTGTTCCCATCTTGAAAATTATTATAATGAATCAATGAACCCAGAGAAAGGGAGGTTCGAGTTCTTCCCGGGAAAATGTTGATTTCTAAATGGTGGACAATGAGATTTCCCGACTTTTTAATGACTTTAATTTAAAAGACACCTCAGAAGTCGGGAAAGCTCATTTCCCGCCTTCTAGGAATCAAAATTTTCCCGAGGAAGAACCCCCAGACCCCCCTTTCTTTTTGGGATTCATCGATTCATGGAAAATTCGTATGCAACTACTCATTTTAAAAAAATTGTTATGTATGTATACACACATAAGCCCTATTTACTGTAATAGCAATGAGAAAAATTACCTGACCGTTTTCAAGATGGGAAAACCTTGAATTTTGAAGAACATAAGAGTAATTAAAAGACACCTCAGAAGTCGGGAAAGCTCATTTCCCGCCATCTAGAAATCGAAATAAGGGGAGAGGGAGGGAAATAGAAAGAAGGGGAAAGAAAAAGAAAGGAAAAAGGAAAATAAAAAGAGAAGAGAAAAATAAAAACAAGAATAAAAAGGAAGATATAATGAACAGATATCACAATACCCCGGCCTGCAACCCCTTCTCCACTTCAAAAAGTGTCCATAGCACATTTGATCTAAGCCACCAGGTATTCTCCGCAGTGGCGTAACCACCGGGGGACAAGGGGAAAATATGCATCTGTGGAAAGTCTTTCCCCATTGAATGCCATTTTCACCCGGGAAAGTGCCTGAAAATCTCAAATTTTAAATCGCATATTTTGTTGAGGTAGGCCAATTTCCTCTAAAAATTGCACATTTTAGGGAGTTTTGATCAATTCCGACGAAATTAGAATTAAAAAAACAAAAATTATTCGCGCGCTTCGCGCGCATTTTTTAATTTTAAAGCTTGTGCTTGCTCTCCTTTGCCTTCTAAGTTATAACACATAGTCCCAAACTCAAGAAAGAAAATTTCAGATAGATCATTCTACCTAAAAGAAGGGGCTCAATGTATAATGATGTTGAAATAATATGTTTGTAATAAATAAAGCCATAAGGAAAAATGCTTATATTCAGTTTAAAAAAACGAGTGTGGCCATATATAACATGAGCATTTCTTGTTGAGGTAGGCCAATTTCTTCTAAAAATTGCACATTTAGGGAGTTTTTTTTTATCAATTCCGACGAAATTAGAATTAAAAACACAAACATTTTTCGCGCGCATTTCTTAGGGTTAAAACTTGTGCTTGCCCTCCCTTGCCTTCTAAGTTTTTTAAAAACATAAAAGTCCCAAAACTTTAAGATAGATCGTTTTACCTAAAAGAAGGGCCTCAATGTGTAATGATGGTGAAAGGACAGGCCTATGAATTGTAATAAATAAAACCACGATGAAAATGCTTATCAAACACACGAAACACATTGAGAATTTAGAAGCCATTTTGTGTCATACGCGATGCGCGTTCTGTGTCTAACTTGGTCTAACGTGATGTGCGCTCCTGTGTATATAGTGTATAATACAGTTAGCGGCCTCCTGTATAGTTTAATTCCATTTAATCTTTTTAGCAGTCGCATTTCATGTAACTATTTTTATAGATTTTTTTTTAATGATTTCACTACTTTATATCCAATTTCATATTATAAATACTGTAATAATTTACTATTTTAGAGCAGTTCTTTAATCCTCGCCAATAGACCGAGAGAGCCCTTCGATGGCAAGCATTCTTCAATTAGGCAATCCTGCCATATAGACCCTTAAGTAGCTCCTGTTATTTTTGCAAATAAATGATATGTAAGACCAGCAAAAATCAATTAAATATGTATATCAAAATGCAATTAAAATCCGTATATAGGGTATATAGATTGTTGCTCTTTAAATTAGAATATGAGCGAGCCCTATACAAATCTTGTGTTATTAATTTGATTATTATTATTTAAAATTAAGTATTAAAATAGTATAGGTCAGTTGGCCACAATATATAAATTGTGCATTGCTGTAAATATTATAAATTGTAAGTGTTAAATGATATACAGGATCTGTGATATATTGAACTTGTGTAATTATGTAACGTACATTTTATTGTATTAAAAGTCTCGCCTCTATTTTGATATTGTATTATGGCTGTACAGTATGTTACTTTAATAAACACACTGCAAGATCGTGTCCGCTGTTTTAAAAGCGTCGTTTCCAAAATAAAGTTATAATAATTATATAATAGTATGCAATAGAAACAGCAAATAATTTTTAAGATTTTTGTATTAAACATACCGTAACCTTTATTTTCATTGGCATTTGTATTTGTACAGGCTTTACAAAGATTTGAAATTAAGAAGAACCATTTTCTAATATTATTTAGCGAACAACCTTTAAAGATCGTCCGAAAAGGGCAGAAAAAAATTTTTTTTTTCTCTTATTTAGCTTAAATATTTTTCCGAACGCATCTAGGCGAATGAGAAAATAAAAATAAAAAAATGTAATGATGAACGTAAACAGTGTAATAATGCAACTGATAAATGATTTAAATTTATATAATTAAGGAAGAAATATATATATATTATATATATATATATATATATTATATATATATATATATAACTATTAAAAACAATTAAAACCAAAGAAAAGATTACCATTAAATAAAATAGGTCGGGTCTTCATTGATTAAAATGTGACGAATTAACGATAATTGAAAACAATTATAATTTTAATTTCAATCATTTACGCGAGCACGGAATTTACGCGAGCACGCACGCGCGCAAATATTCGATTATATATGAATTCTTATACGCTCTCCATACTAAGTGATGTTAATTATAAAATATAATTGTAAACCTAATTAAGTGTGTGAAATTAATATGCAATGTACGTACCGTAACATATATACTTTGCATGTGTTCATCGGGAAGATTATGAAACAAAATGGACGGTGTGTACCACGTGACTTTCGTAAACCAAGGAGCGGAATGTCGCAACTCTTTATATATATGGCTCTGAATCGAATCAAACATGTAAAAAAGATTTAATGATTTCAAAGGATGAGCCTATGCGTAGGCCTACGTTTTCAAGATTCAAGATTCATTTATTGACTTGTCCATAAAAAATACAATGTATATTAAAATGGATATATTTTTAAATACACACATTGCCAACTAAAATTTTAAATACGTACTGTATATTAAAATATTAAGTAAACCACGAAATATAGGCCTATATACATTACACGTTAAAATAATGTTAAAAAGTATTGCAGTAGTGTATTTAAGATTTTTTGATTTTTTTTTTTTGCATTGCTGGTAATTTTGAATTCTTTTTTTTTTTTTTAAATACTGTAATTTTTTTTAATCAGCATATTTTGAAAGACTAACCTTTTCAGGCCTACAATTAATTTTCGTTTTTATGGGTTTGGTGCAACTGATATAATTGTGTATAATATCTAAATAAATTATTATAGACAATTGTTTACACAGCCTCACTGCACAAGGTGGATACGGTATAATATTGTATGAATTATTAATATCTCTGCCATACTTGGAATGCTTAATCCTGTATGGTAACATTTATACTTACAGGTGGCAGATAAACTAGAAAATATTCAGCAGTGAACAACTTGCGGTTAGTACTTGACATCAGAAAAAAAAAGTTCTGGGGCGGACTCACAAGGTGGCACAGTCGGCTCGCCGGGCCCTAAGTTCAAAATTATAATGTAGAAAAAATGAAAATTATATTCAGCTAAAAAGTTTGAGTGCCTTTTCCGGCCATCTGGGTGTCATAATCATATTTCTTACTATTGAAATACTATGATACTATATACTATGACCCTCCATGTGAAATTCCCTCCCATGAGACATAATTGCTTTGTGCAATTCTGTAACGTTTTATACTTTCATTTATGTTTTGATAGTGTATTTATAATTTTTTTTATTTTTGAAACGGTTATGACATTGTAATAATTTCATGACCAGTGGCGGATCTGAATTTGGTGCTTATAGGGGACATTGAGAATTTTCATCAAGATCAAATCAAAGATCAAGGGGTGAATATTTTTTGCAGGGGTAAACACATCATCACTATACACTCATAATCACCATTCTGTTGTGGTCTTCGATCCCCTCTCACTGTCATCTTTGTAGTTTCCTCTTATCATCATCATTGTCGATGATGACGATTAAATGTTAATTATTCATCTCATCTATTACTGCATATGATAGACATTATTATAAAATCATTTTTACACAGGTTTGTACTGAAGTACCGTATAAGGCTTCCATTGTTTTATTAAATTAGCAGGAGTTCAAAATTAAGATGAAAATACCAATACTTGCGTGAAACTTTTGGAATATGGAAATTTGTCTACTCCTCTGGTTCGGTGTTGATGAAGATCGGAAAGCTTGGTGAAATAATGATGTAAATAATTAGGACACATATATCATAATATACATTATGTACATGTGATTTAGTCTTAATTGTTTCGCTCGACTGTTTATATTCAAAATATTCAATTTCTTAAAATCTGATAAGTGATACGGTGAGTTACATAGGCCCTTTGTATAAAATAAACCTAATTGTCTTGTTTTGTGCAATTTGAAGTTTGTTTTTTTTTTGTAGCCCTGAGGAAACATCAGAATACCAAGAGGCAATTATAGGCTAATTAAATAAGCAAAGAACAATTGAAGAGCAAATGGTTTTCTTTACATAAAAATTAAAATATCCAGTTTGTCTATATAAAAATTTGAATCTGTTGTTTACTTTCCTAATGATCCCTTCAACAATAGCTTCAGCATTTAACGTATTGTCAAGTTCAATACCTAAATATTAACCTTTGAAGATGCTTTTATTTCTAGACCTTTACAATTTATACTCATATTTATCGATTCTTTAACTTTAAAATTCGTACCGAAAACAATAAGTTCGGTTTTGCCAAGGTGTAACGACATGTTATTATCAACTAGCCATTCATAGCACCGTTCTATGTTTTCACTTAAATTTTCTTTAACTTTGTCAAGAGATTTATTTGCAAAAATTAAACACAGTCATCCGCATATTGTAATAAAAGAAGGTTTTTAACAGCAATTGGCATGCCATTGACATAGCACAAAATAAACAATGGTCCTAGGAGGCTTCCTGTATTGATAGTCATTTGGTCAGAAAAGGGATTATTAATCTTCACAGTCTGAGTTTTATTTTTAAGATACGATTTGAACCAATTAATTGATTTGACTCCAAGGGCAGTTAGTTTAGAATATAATTTGTTGTCTAAACGATCATCCTACATGAAGTCCCGATGATATGTGAGTTCATAATGTAGTCTTGGAGGTAGATAAGACGTGTGTCCGTAGAGTAGCTGCCCCTGAAGCCAGATTGAAATTTATACAATAAAGTTATTTAATGTCAGATATTCATTAAGCTGTACTAAAGCTGCCTTCTCTAGTAATTTAGAAGCCAATGGTATTACTGTATACTAATTGGTCTGAAGTTTCCTGGATCCAGTCTACTTTCTTTTTAATTTAGTGGTTTAACCGCAGCAGATTTTAAATCCGAGGGAACTGTTTTCGTAGTTAAAAGTTAATTATGTGTGTCAAAGGCACGCAATTACACAAGCTGCATCTTATTAGGAAGCGGGCTGGAATTCCGTCCCCCAACCTGTGTTCTTGAAAGAATCGAGTTTCTGGAGCTCAGTAAAGACCAGGGAACTGTGAAATTACACTCCCTGGTAAAGTCAATCTCAATTTCTTTAAGAACAAGATAACTGTCGTTGTCCCGACGGTAATATGCTTTAAAGATTTCAGATATACTACTAAAGGCATATCTGAGGGGGCTGGCAAGCTATTAATAAGTTTAGTAGTGATAGAAGTGAAGAACTGGTTAAACACATTGGCAACAGATTTGTTACCAAAATTAATTTTGTCTCCTTCTTTTAGGGTAATCTTAGATTGATCTTTGACTCTGGTAGAGTAGCCTAAATCTTTGATCGTATTCCACATTTTTTATGATTATTCTTATTTTCATTAATCTTATTTTCATTAATCTTATTGAGAAAATATTGAGTCTTAGTCCTTTTCACTAGTTTTGGTTCCCTGTTTTTTAGTTTACGATACTTGGCTAAGAGGTCCAGTGATTGGCCTTGTTGCTCCAACCTCTTCATCAAAGTATCTCTCTGGTGAATTAGATTAAGAATTTCACTATATCCATGGCTCTGTACGTTGTTTGATTCTGATTGTTTTCAAAGGAGCCACCTTGTCGAGTACTTTGATGAGAAGGTCAGAAAAGTACTGCCTGCCAAGCACTGTTTACATTGTGAGGAAATTAATCATAGACCAGTCTATATTGTTTAATTCGTGAATGAAATTATCAATGTTGTAACCCTTTGTAGATCCAATAGGTATTTGTCTATGACAATTAAAAATGGTTTTATTCATCTTTGTGGTACAAAAAGTCATATAATGGTCGCTGATGCTGTTTTTAATAACACCAGAATTACTGACCCTGTCCTTGGATTTGCAAAGAATGATCCAGCAGTGATGCTTGTTCGTTTCCGGCGTTTTTTATACATAGTATTGTTTATTCGTGTAGGCGTTGCAATGAGTTACTTAAATCCATATGTGTTGATAATGGAGTTATATTTTGGGAGTAGAGGGTCCTCTCTTAAAGCCCCATTCCCGGCAAAATTTCACTAAAAACTGATTTTTTTTAATTTATTTTTTTTTAAAGAAAATACGCATTTGCATTACTCCAATTATTATAAATCATGGAAAAATATTGGCATGAATTTTAGGTTTACGCAAAAGAATTTAAAAAAATGAGAAATACAGACTATTTCTCACAAAATATTACCATTTTCTCGACGAATTCATTGTTACTAGGCAAATTCAGAGGTTGTAGATCGCATCTACTGGAATACTCTCGCTTTTATGTATACTTTATACAGTCAATAAAGTGCGCCCTCCTGTCTCTTATACACCTCTGATGAGCCTAT